GGGGGGCCTGGGGGTGGGTGGGAAAGTGGGGAATGACTATTCGCAAAAGCGCAAAATGTCGGAGGAATTCGAATCGAGCCGCGTTCTCCGGAGACCCGACCAGCGGAGCCCCTCCATCCATGCTCCCCCGCCGATCCCGCACCCATGGGAATGGATAGCACAGCAGCAGCACACACCCACCCTCGAACAGCCTTTGAAGCCCGACAGAGAAGTGGAAGCATCACCAAATCAAATCAAAATGTCTGATAACGAGTATGGCGATGGAGACGGAGGTGAAGAATACGACGTGTTTGCTAACGAGGATGACGACCCCCAAGTAGACGAGCCCACGCAGCTGGAGGCCGATCCTGCGGACATGGAGGTCGTAGACGCCGCGGACGCAGGAGGGGCGGGGTTGAGGAGCGCTGACGACCGCATAACAACAAAGTATATGACCAAGTACGAGCGGGCGAGGATTTTGGGGACAAGGGCATTGCAAATAAGGTGGGTGACAACGATTGTATGCATACGGATGATTCTATAAAGCGTTTATTTTGAGTGTGATGCGCAACCCTTGGAGGTCACGTAGTCTAAAAGGTACCACACGCCCCTCGACCGAATTTCAAAGCTCGACTTGTTTACCGTGAAGAGGATGCCAAGATCAAATGTTGCCTGCCCTGAAAGCTCTCGACTAGACGGTTCCAACGCCGCCATTGTTATCACCGTCACTGCTGTTTTTGCTGCAAAGTACAAGCAGTCGGGGTTTTTTACGCCGGTCCCAGGGGGAGTGGTATCTTACGTCATCTCCTGTATTTCGATGCACCAATCAAGCTTCAAAGGCAGCTTTCCTACTCTCCACTTGTGGTCTAAGGCCACAAGTTCCTCAGCTCCATCTCGCCGTTTAAAACGCTTGGGTCTACCTTGACTTCCTCCTAAAGTTCGTGGAAGGGGTACATCGTGGAGCTCCTGATATCAAAAGGCATTGGTAGACAGACGTAAAAACCTATATACAGATGGCGCCCGCACTTGAGAACCTCTACTTCCGACCGAGGCTGGCGTTCTTATTTTGCTGATCATCCTCTTGTGGGCTACAAATGGATGCTATATAGGTTTAAGTGTAGGGGTTCTTAATATGGCTCACAAATGGTGCCCAAGTTCTTAGCTTCTGGTGTTTTTTCGAGTCTCAATTTCTTCAATGCGAAGTTCTTAAATGCGGGCGCTCTCTGTAGCGAGCAATGCGTACCAGAGCTTTCTAAACCGATCGCGCTGAGCAAGTCAAATCGCAAGGATCGGGTTTCGCCACAGATTGATGCGTCTCTCTGTGTATGTAACGAATCAACTGCTAGAGCAGTAGTCTGACCTATTGAACAGGCACTAGATGTTCCGTCAATTTCTGAATCCGCGTTGTTTAAGAAAACAGCGGAGGTTAATAAAGGGTGTACTCGCTCGACAAGAATGTCTCTTCAAAAATGCGACCATTCCCGCCCCCGCCCCCGCCCCCTCTTCCCGTTCTTGTTCAGTATGAACGCGCCGGTGATGGTCGACATCGAGAACGAGACTGACCCCTTGAAGATCGCCATGAAGGAGTTGAGAGAGAGGAAAATCCCGATAAAAATCCGGCGGTATCTTCCGGACGGGAGCCACGAGGATTGGGCGATAGAAGAATTAATCATGGACTAGCTGGACGGTGTGAATTTTGTCGTGCCTATGTATGTTTTTTTTGTATCATGCGGTGTGCCGGAGTAGCGTAGTTCGAACGGTTGGAACCTCGCCCCGCACCTCATGCGTGTGTCTACGAGCCTGTGTGATGGTTTGGATGAGTCAGTGGGTTGTCATGAGGACGCATTTGAGATTCGGGAGAGTTGGCTGTGTCGAGACATATATATGGAAGAAAGGGGATCCGAAGCCGTCGATTGTACATACCGCAGAATGTCCCTCTTTCTACGGAACGGAATCCAGAATCCCCTCTTTTCTAATGTCGGTCTTGCTCTTCACTTCTACGCGGTGGTTTTTATGAACGATTTTCTCCGCCCCGGGGGCTACCAGAGGGCAGCACATGGCGTTTAGTGCTGCGTTTGCCTACGTTGTTGTTGTTTGGCCGACATCATCTCTCCGTGCAATCCGGGAGAAGGATTGCCCTCTTGCTTAGGGGTCTACCTCAAGGGGGAATAGCCTCGTCGAGCGCCGTGATGAGTTTGTTGAAAACTGCAGTCGGTCGTTCTGATACCTTTCCAGGACGTCTTGAACTCTTGCGGCAAAACGGGTGTACCAACCAAGTGTTGCTGCGGGCAGTTCTAAAGTCAGCGCCTCTCGTGCGTACAGACCATCTTCTTTCTTGCACGATGCTCACATGTTCACCGATGATCTTGTGGACGGAGCAGGTGAGCAAGGGATGCCAAAACAGCCTTTCTCCACTTTTTTAAACACAAAGAATAAAAACCAATATCGATGAGAGACAAAGAACGCAGACAACTTGTTCTCGTAGAGACGAGCAACATCGCCGGAATCGCCGGGAGAACACATAAGCAAACGTTGCCACGAAGACGACAGCTGGCCATGTTGAGACTCGAAACATCCCTCCTCCGTCTCGAAAAACCCGCGAAGTCAATGGTGGCGACCAGCTAAACAAGGCAAGCAACAACGAGCAACACCCACAGCGCGCGCCAAATCAAGAGCACGGCGCACAGACAACTATACTGTGTATATGGTCAGAACAGGGGAAAATCAGATGTACTCTGCAAGCATTCGCCGGGGTTGAACCTCGTACGCCAAGGGTATACAGCAGACCTGTGAACTACGTATCACTCTCAAGCTGAGCCAGGTCAATATGACAGCTGCACCTTGCGTACGACTCTCCGCAAACTGGAATCTGGTGCTACCGTTGCGATGCATACCCATTCCTTTGGTTTGCGCCTGCCAAAGCAAGCATGTCTCCTGCCATGTGTGATGGCTGCATGCACCATATCTACATATTTTGCCTAAACTTACTCTCCTGGTGCCGGTGAGTGAGTTCCGATCCCATCATTCCAGATCAGATGAAGGATTCTGCAACGTCGTCGTCTTCGACGTCCTCCGCATCCTGGGCAGTTTGTGTGTGCTGCGTGTTTTCCTCGATCTTTAACTGCGACAAAAACACGCGGTCAACGCGGTCAGTCCGTCATCATCTTAAGTGTTACGAAATACGACACAGGCCACATTCAACGCTAACGTTGGGGCTGCTTGGGTAAAACAACCCTGCGCGTGAAGTATGCATGGAGTGTCGAAACACAAGGCGATATTCGTTGGGGCTGCTTGGGTAAAACAACCCTGCCCGTGCAATGTGCCAAGCGGAAGCAATGATGGAACCCGTGCTATCTACTCGGTCGGGAACAGGAAACGGAGGAAATACGAAACGAAAATCAACAAGACAGCAAGGATGTGTACATGCACCTTTGCTCCGGATACTGTAGCGTGTTCCTCACGAGGGGGGCAGCGCTGATGCCAAGCCCGCTCTGCTTTTCTGAACCGGTAGAGTGACCGGCGGCAAACTTCCCTCCTACTTGTCAGGGGATAATTGTCCTCCCTCATCACTTGTCTCTCCACAAACAACGTTATTCGCGTGCTGCGATATTAATGTCGTGGTAGATGACATAAGCAACGATCGCTCTGCGAAACGCATGCAGCAGTCTATCTTCCTTTTACGGAGACCGACTTTGAAGGTTGATACGTTGCTATGCAATTTACGCTTAAGCCCAGCGCCTCGTATGCCAAGCCCGGTTTGCTGTTGAGGACGAACCCCACGGCTGGGTGACAAGCCAGTGACTCTCTTCTATCAATGCTTCAACCCGTTCTGCCTCCCCCTGCCTCCATCCACCTGGTACAGGTATACTTCGTATTGATCGATACGACTTCTTTGGAAGGAGAGGCGTGGTCACATCGACGGCGTGACCACAAAGGGCGGGCAGGCAGCACTCACTCACCCGGCGCATCATGTCCTTGTCCGGGACCAAGTCTGCCTTCACAACCTTGTGCGAGCAAGCGGCAACGGGGCAAGACACCCCTCCGTCGTTCTTGGCGACGCGGATGTGGTTCAAGATGGCCTTCTTCCCGTACGTATGGCCGCAGCGCTGGAGGGGGGGGGGGGGGGGGAGGGGGCGTACTCTTATGTTTTGCATGCCTTAGCGGCTAGACATTGACCACACTCGTCCTCGAAAGGACGGAGCGTTGTTCCCGCAGGACCGATCACCAATGGCCAACCATTCCTTTGGTAGGGGGCGGGGGCGGGGATAGATGCAACCGGTTGTACATTCTAGCCTGGGTACCCCCTGGATCGAAAACAACTATCTCAGGAAATAAACCGGGCCCCCGTCTCCCACGCAATACCCAATACCCGCACTTGATGTGCACTTGCATTGCTGGACTATCAACCCAACCGCAACAAAACTCACTCCCCTTAGGAGGAAAGCAATGACTTTCCTATCTACAGTATGCGCAGCAAACAACAAGTAAAGTGCCGGCTCGTGCAGTAGACCCCGTCTTCAAGCGGCGTGAGAAAAGACAAGTCATGCGACGCGGGGAATAACTTGGCCCGCTCGCTGCAGGTGTAACGTGCGTGAACTCGCACGGAAAACGTGCCGGTTGTCCCTGTTCCATAAAAACAACTGTGGGAAAA